AGTGCACCCCAGGGTGGCTGTGGCTACAATGTAGCTTGCCATCACCAGTGTGTGAATGGGTGGATGACTGGATATGTAAAGCGCTTTGGGGTCCTTAGGGACTAGTAAAGCGCTATATAAATACAGGCCATTTACCATTTTACCACACCAGGCCAGACCCCAGGTGCAGGCTGTGTAAAGATGCCCCTGAGACAATCCAGCACATAACAGAAGGATGCAAGATGCTAGCAGGCAGAGTATACATGGAACTCCATAAATAAGTGGCCAGCATAGTATACAGGAACATCTATGCAGAATATGGCCTGGAAGTTCTGAAGTCAAAATGGAAGAGGCACCCAGTGGTGGTCAAGAATGACTGAGGTAAGATCCTGTGGGACTTCCAGATACAGACGGACAATTTGGTGGACAAACAGACAAACCGGACATAGTAGTAGTAGACAAGCAGAGGAAGACAGCCGTAGAGATAGATGTAGCGATACCGAATGACAGCAACATCAAAAAGAAGGAACACAAGAAAGTGGAGAAGTAACAAGAGCTCAGAGAAGAGCTCGAGAAGATGTGCAGGGTGAAGTAACATTGGTCTAAGTGGTAATCGGAGCACTTGGTTCAGTGACCCCCAAGCTAGGGGAGTGACTCCAGCAGATCCCAGGAACAACTTCCGAGATCTCTGTCTGGAAGAGCGCAGTCCTAGGAAAAGCTAAGATACTGCAATGGACCCTCAAGCTCCCAGGCCTCTGATAGAGGACCTGAGCTTGAAGGATAGACCGCCCGCAGGGACGAGAGGGGAATTTTATTTTATTTTATTTTTCGTTGCTTTCTGTTGGTTTCTTTGTATTTTACCATGCCTGCATCTGTGCATGCATCCATATCAGTTATGGCACCTTGCCAATCAAGCTTCGTCGTGTTAGTTTATAACTTAGCAATTCACTCTTTGGTCACTCTAGCAGCTAAAACGCAGACCTTGAAGTTACAAAAAGATGGTGATGAAAAAAGAATCAAAGTTTGAAATTTGAAAAGAGAAGAAAAGAAGCAAAAACAAACAAAAAGCAAGTCCCACATGTCTAATTAAGTCATTAAAGTTTCTTTACACATCAGTGATATGATCCATACTGTATGTATATTACATATATGTTCGTATGTTTACATTACCACATCCAAACCTCAAACGTTGGTTTCAGTATGAGTGAATATAACAGAGCTGAAATTTAATGACAGATTTTTCTCTTAAAAAATGCGAACAGCTGCAGACGTTAACTTTTTTTTTAGCTCAAGGTCATCCTGATATTCATCTTAGCATCTGCATCTCCCCGCAGTGTCTTTGACAACCAGCATTCATCAAAACACTCACAATTAATAATGCTGACGTCTCTAACAGAGAACACACTATCATTAAACACCATCAAGGTAAAAAACTGAATAAAAATAACGTGACTGATGCCAGAGGAGTTAGAAAAGATTCAAAGACTTTATGTAAGGTTAACTTTTACAACTCTTCCTGTTTTTCTACTGAATTTGAATCGATCCTTTCTTTCATCTCAGGCTGATGCTTCATTTTGCAGTAATTAGAAACAATATTGCTTTATATTTTTGTGTTTCTATCACAAAGTTGAATTTAAATAATTTTGATTTGTTTTGGTTATGATAAAGTTTTATTAAAAGAAGGTAATATGGCTCTGTGGAGGACTGGTCAGTCATTACCTCAGTAACTGCTGATGACACCACATTCATATTTGTGGTATTGATTTCTCAACAACAACTGGGTAATGGCTTAATCAGTAATGAAGAGAAAACAAACAAACCTGCATTCTGGTTTTACACAGGACTCAAACCGTGCCTTTCCAGGTGAAGGTCTTTTGTTGCCTAACCATGCCGTATCACTACTCTGCTTTTTAAACAAGTTTTTGCTATGCTCACTAGATCTGGCTTGAAAGAACTTGTCTCAAGCCTCGTGAGTTAAGCCTAAAAACAAAACCAGAGGAGGCGATTGAGTCTAGAGCCATATGAAAAACAAAGTACACCCTCTTTTTATTCTAAAATACAGCACATTAGTACACACTGAAAAATAATCTGTCAGGGTTCGGGTCCGTGACCCAGTGACTTGAGTTTATTTTGGATTTTCTTACTTTATTGTAAAAATGCTAGTTCTTGTTCTTGTGCTATTATTTAGTCTTCGCCTCTTTGTTTAACGTTTAGTTATGCCCATGCTTGCATCTCCCTGTGCTTCATGTCTACCCAGTCTGTCATGTTTCTTGTCTGTGTGTTTCATGTTGTCAAGCTTGTGTTATTACGTCTTCGTCTCTCCATGCTTCCTGTTTTATTTTGAAAGGGCTGGTGGTTCCATGTTTAGTGTGTTAGGGTTTTACTTTTCCCTGTGGCGTCATGATCATTTGTGTCAGCTGTGTCTCCCTCATTACCCTTCTGTCCTCACGCCCTGATTATCTCACGTTAGAGCTTTTCATGTTCCAGTTCAGGCCCTGTTCATGTCACAGTTTTCATGTTTTAGTTTTTCTCAGTTTAGGTTTCCTCCAGTTTGCCTTGCCTTGTTTTGACATCATAGCAATCAAACGGCTCGCTTTTTGTTACACTTCGTTTGTCTCCCGTGTCTGCATTTTTGTCCACACCTCAAACACACCGGCCTGCTCGGCTGTGACAAATCTGGTCCATACCAGGTTCTACAACTGCTTAAAGACAGATGAATAAGATGTGACGTGTTATATTAGGTATTTATTTATTTAATAAAATAGCACTGTGTGTGTTAAACTAAGTACACCTCACCACATGGTTCACTGGTACAAGCTAATGAAGTAATGGTTTTCTGTATGACTTTCTCACATTGTTAGGAAGTTTGGCCCACTTTTCTTTGCAGCAGTTCTTCACTTGTCCAGTTTTCTCATTTTAAAAATCGAGGTAAAGCAAATAAGTGGAAGACAAAGGAAAAAGTAAACTATCAAGAACTAAATGTTATGTCCTTGAAAATATGACAAAAACTGAGCAAAGACCTAAAAGAGGACCCAGAGATACATTTGGAAGGCTGTAAAGAAGTCATTCATACAGAAAGGAAACAGATCAAATTGTCATTAATATATATGCAGGACGTCAGAGAGCTGTACAACAGTGAGTGTCTACAGCAGGGGTGCCCAATCCCGGTCCTCGAGAGCTACCGTCCTGCAGCTTTTAGATGCATCCTTGTTCCCACACACCCGAATCAAATGAATGGCTTGTTATCAGGCCTTTGCCAAACATGATGGCATGCTGAAGAGGTAATCAAACCATTTGATTCAGCTGTGTTGGAGTAGGGATGCAACTAAAAGCTGCAGGATAGTAGCTCTCGAGGACTGGGATTGGGCAGCCCTGGTCTACAGCCATCTGTAAGATGGGTTGGAAGCAGTCCGGAGCCCGGACCTCAACATTATTGAAGCAGCCTGGGATCATCTTGACAGAACTGAACAAAAGGCACCCAACAGCTAAAGAAGGGCTTTGAACAGGGGTGGGCAACTCCAGGCCTCGAGGGCCGGCGTCCCTCCAGGTTTTAGATGTGTCCTTGAACCAACACAGCTGATTTAAATGGCTAAATTAGCTCCTCAACATGTCCTGAAGTTCTCCAGAGGCCTGGTAACGAACTAATCATGTGATTCAGGTGTTGACCTGGCTTTGAATGTCCTTCAAGAAACCTAGAGAATGATTCTTGAAGACCAACTCAAGAGTATCGAAAAATGTGTTTTTGTATAGAGTTAGCATTTTCTCGCCGTGTTTACATGGTTACTCTCATGGTCTGTCTGTGGACTCAGTGGTTTTGGTTTTGATTATTATCTTATGTTTTAGGTTCATTCTTGTTAGGAATTTCTTGTTCTCAGGTTTAGTTTCTGTTTTGTATTTCGAGCTCCTTTTGTTCTGTCTCTCTGCCTGCCTGGTCCCGCGTCTTTGTGCTCCCTCCCTGTTGCCATGTCTTGTGTTAATTCTCGTGTCTGTGCATACCTGTTGTATTTCCTGTTTTTTTTTGACGGTCCTTGTCTCGTCAGCCTGTCACCTCCTGTATCCCATTCCCGGATTGCCCCTGTGTGTATATAAGCCCTGTGTTTTCTCCTGCTTGTTGCTGCTCCGTCTGCGTTGTCTCCTCGAGACTCCCTGTGTTTCTGCCGTATGATAGTTTCAGGTCAGTTTTGTTAGTTTTCTCAGTTTAGGTTTATCTGTATGCCCTTCTCCGTTCCTCCTGTATTGTGTTCACCTCACAAAATAAAGCTCAATCTCTGCATCTACGTCAGTGCCTGCATTTGGGTCCTTACCTCACCTCCACACAGCCTGCCTCGCCAGCCGTGACAGTTTCTCTCTAGCTTTCTCCCACAGTACAAAGACACATATGGCATTAGGTTAATTGGTGATTCTCAATTGACCATAGGTGTGACCGTGAGTGATGTGTTTTGTGTTAGCACTGCAGCAGCTGACAGATTAGCAACCTGTGATAGAAACTCTTGAATTGGTTAGATGAAAGAAAATGGATGAACAGGTTGATTTCCTGTCCAGTGACACCAAAAACATGTTACCTACCACAACCTTATTGAAATTCAGTTCATGTTCATGACATGACCCAAATTTCAATGTAACATTCATTCATAGTACATTGAATTGTGTCAATATAACTGATACAAAACACAAGGTTTATAAAAGATAAAGAGCTTCACATGTACTTTCTGTAAAGTTCAAAGTAGAAGTTGTTCAGATAAATATGCTCATTTGAATTGTGAACCTGAGCATCAGGCATGATAGGACAGAGTCGAGTATTAGCTCTCTGCAAAAAAAGAAATCTTGTGCAGCTGTGCCTCAGCGTTTAGGAGTGCAAGATGAAGGTCAAAACAAATATTTAATTGTTTTTCTGGAAAGTAACACCGACGCAAGGCCTCGATTCATACATCAATTAAAAACATGGAATAAATGAGTGGTCCAATCCATTCACAGCATGATCATTAACACTCATTGTTTAAACATGACCTGCGCTTGAGCTGTTAATTTTTTATGAGTTTATTTGAATGTCAACCTGAGTTCTGTGACTCATCAGTTGATCGCCATCATTATTTTATGACAAACGCAGAGTTTGACCTATTAGCCTACTGAACATTTGCGGTGAAACCACCAATTAACTCAGCTTAGAGGATAGTTCTAAATACATACAGGCACTTTATTTCTTCTTCTTTTTTCAAAATACCATATCAAGCTACTTGATCATGCACATATTAGCAAAATATATCTATAATCACACATGCAAGATATGCAGGGTCACAGTTATTAGTAGTTTTAGATTTTTCTTTGCCAAACACATGTGTATGCAGCCACAATAAGAGGGCAGAAAGAGAAGCAGTGTGCTGGTTAAGAGCGGCCTTGAGTCCCATATTGCAACAGGAGTGGCTCTTTCTCTGCTTTCTCAATGTTGGAGAGCTTTAAAAGAATTAAGCTTTGACCATCAGATTCTTGGTTCTTCAGAAATACGGCATTACTGGAAGCAGCAATCTGCAAAATGACATTTACCAGAAAAACATCAGCCAGCTTCAAAGTTGCTTTTAGATAAAAATGCAGTGTCACAGTTAAGTAGGTTCAAATATCTGAGCTTATGTGGTTTATAGTTTGTTGTTGTTCAAGTGTGATTTATTTCTGGAAATAGGCAGCCTCCTTGTGGTCATACACAGCAATTAACTGCAATCACTGGCACTCATTGAGCTACTGAAAACTAGGATAACAGGCTATTTGCTTAAACTCTAACCAGTGGGATACACAGTATTGATGAAGTACACAATTTTATAATCATTTACTAATATGGCCCTTAAGGTTTTGCATTGTGCCTTTATCTTGTTAATATGTGGTTAATGAACCACAAACATGTGTACCTTAAGTTTGCTGTGAAGATGAGGGTGACAGGCGATGACTGCGATGAAGGAGAACGTTGCCACAAGAATGGCAGCACATGACAGGATGAAGAAAATTTGAGCACCATCTATAATTAAGGAAGAAAGAAGCAGACAGAGTGTGGGTCTGTTGTTAAAGATGCAGTAAAAACAATTATAAGCAATTGAAACAATTATATCTCATATACTTATTCTATGAGTCTCTACTCTCCATGCTACACACTGTAGCTAGAATGCTGTGTTGGCTCTTTATTGTAAATGAATATGGTGGTTTTAGCAAGCGTACAATTTTCTTACTGGCTTTATGACCCTGTTTGGTATAATGATAGAAGAAAGTGAGGCACTCTGTTGTGTGTTAAGTAGCACAACACACTCTAAAACTGAGTCAAAAGTTCCAAATTTGTCCCAGAAAATCTGTGTTTCTGAGTAAGTAGGAAGCGGACGCTAATTTTGGCTCAATAGAAACTTTAGTAACATCACAACAACGAATCGATTGAGGACAGCAGACATGTTCGGACCCGCCTACTCTGATACGCTTGGATTCCTCCATTTTCACTCTTTCATCTGTGTCTGTGGAACTAACACAGCTAAACAGCACATGAAACACCTCATGACACAGCACAGCTGACCTTTGTTTCAAAAGATTTTGCTGTGTTTATTTAGATTTATTGTGATTGAGTCAAACTTTATTAAAGCAGAAGGTACACGATGACTAATACAAAAATAGTTCATATTTAGAGCCAAGAGAACTTTGCAAATGGCCTTAAACTTGCTAATTCATCTTACAACTCCAGTTTCAAAAAAGTTGCTGGTCTAGTTTTGTTTCATTGTGTTCAGTAGCATGTGTGGGTGTATATGTTCTGATGCTGACGACCAATAAGCAGCATTAACATTGCAAATGGTTTTGCATGTGATGTCTGCAGGCAGTTCACTTTAGGCTACTAAAAAATCTTTCTAATAGAAATTTCAAGAACAACATTGCATTGAAAAATGCATTAAAAGGGAAAATAATTGACATGAACATCAGTTCAAAATTCACAGTAAGGTAAAGCATGTGAAAGTATTCATCTGAAATTTACGAACATTGTCCAAATATGCTTATCAATGTGTTTACAACCTGAAACGTTTGGACCAGCTATGACGCATTTAAAGTGCAGTTTCTGTGCAATTTCTATGAGCTAAATGAGCAATGGTAAAAAAAAAAAAAAAAGGCAAAAATGCTTTAAGGATTTTTATTAGTAAATGTTAAAAGTTGGAATGCTGGATAAAATGTGAATAAAAATAGAATGCAGTGATTTGAAAATCTCATAAACCCACACATTATTCATAATAAAACTCATAAAAAGTACTGGTTTATTTTGAATTTGATCGCAGCAGAGCATCTCAAAAAAGTTAGTTCCGGAACAGTAAACGGATGGAAAAATAAGTGGTAATAAAAGAAACCGCTGGAAGAACATTTTGCAACTTATTAGGTTGATAGCGGTTCACCAGTAAGCCAAAACTGCATCAAGAAATTGTGGAACGTTCCTCAATGTAAAATTGTGAACATTTTGAATCATCAATATCTTTAAAGGATAGTAAGAATCTGGAGAAATCTATGCATAATGCAGATCTTGTCTTTAGGCAGGATCATTGGGCGGGCTGAGGAAGCTCTATCATGCATGAAGACGACATACAGTGGGGCAAAAAAGTATTTAGTCAGCCACCGATTGTGCAAGTTCCCCCACTTAAAATGATGACAGAGGTCAGTAATTTGCACCAGAGGTACACTTCAACTGTGAGAGACAGAATGTGAAAAAAAATCCATGAATTCACATGGTAGGATTTGTAAAGAATTTATTCGTAAATCAGGGTGGAAAATAAGTATTTGGTCACCTCAAACAAGGAAAATCTCTGGCTCTCACAGACCTGTAACGTCTTCTGTAAGAAGCTTTTCTGTCCCCCACTCGTTACCTGTATGAATGGCACCTGTTTGAACTCATCATCTGTATAAAAGACACCTGTCCACAGCCTCAAACAGTCAGACTCCAAACTCCGCCATGGCCAAGACCAAAGAGCTTTCGAAGGACACCAGGAAAAGTATTGTAGACCTGCACCAGACTGGGAAGAGTGAATCTACAATAGGCAAGCAGCTTGGTGTGAAAAAATCAACTGTGGGAGCAATCATCAGAAAATGGAAGACATACAAGACCACTGATAATCTCCCTCGATCTGGGGCTCCACGCAAGATCTCATCCCGTGGGGTCAAAATGATCATGAGAACGGTGAGCAAAGATCCCAGAACCACACGGGGGGACCTGGTGAATGACCTGCAGAGAGCTGGGACCAAAGTAACAAAGGTCACCATCAGTAACACACTACAACGGCAGGGAATCAAATCCCGCAGTGCCAGACGTGTTCCGCTGCTGAAGCCAGTGCATGTCCAGGCCCGTCTGAAGTTTGCCAGAGAGCACATGGATGATACAGCAGAGGATTGGGAGAATGTCATGTGGTCAGATGAAACCAAAGTAGAACTTTTTGGTATAAACTCAACTCGTCGTGTTTGGAGGAAGAAGAATACTGAGTTGCATCCCAAGAACACCATACCTACTGTGAAGCATGGGGGTGGAAACATCATGCTATGGGGCTGTTTTTCTGCCAAGGGGACAGGACGACTGATCCGTGTTAAGGACAGAATGAATGGGGCCATGTATCGTGAGATTTTGAGCCAAAACCTCCTTCCATCAGTGAGAACTTTGAAGATGAAACGAGGCTGGGTCTTCCAACATGACAATGATCCAAAACACACCGCCCGGGCAACAAAGGAGTGGCTCCGTAAGAAGCATTTGAAAGTCCTGGAGTGGCCTAGCCAGTCTCCAGACCTCAACCCCATAGAAAATCTGTGGCGGGAGTTGAAAGTCCGTGTTGCTCGGCGACAGCCCCAAAACATCACTGCTCTCGAGAAGATCTGCATGGAGGAATGGGCCAAAATACCAGCTACTGTGTGTGCAAACCTGGTAAAGACCTATAGTAAACGTTTGACCTCTGTTATTGCCAACAAAGGTTATGTTACAAAGTATTGAGTTGTATTTTTGTTATTGACCAAATACTTATTTTCCACCCTGATTTACGAATAAATTCTTTACAAATCCTACCATGTGGATTCATGGATTTTTTTTTTCACATTCTGTCTCTCACAGTTGAAGTGTACCTCTGGTGCAAATTACTGACCTCTGTCATCATTTTAAGTGGGGGAACTTGCACAATCGGTGGCTGACTAAATACTTTTTTGCCCCACTGTATGTAAAAATTAAGTCAAATCAAGAAACGCTGCCATCTTCTCTGAGCCATTTAACATGAACTGAAGCAAAGTGAAAAAGTGTTCCATTATAAGACAAATCCATTTTCTTTCACTTCTCTGATTCAGGGTTGTAGGGGCTGGAGCCAATCCCAGCTGTCATGGGGCAGAAGGCAGGGTACATCCCAACACAGGTTGCCCCTCTGTCACAGACTAATTGGCTAACAAAGAGAGGCAAACATCCATTCACACTCACATTCATGCCTATGATCAGTTTAAAATCATCAGTAAGCCTAAACTCAAGCATAACTTTGTATTCTGGGGGAAAGCTGGAATACCTGGACAGAACCCAGACAAACACAGGGAGAACAGGCGTACTCCACACTCAAAAGGTCCCAAACTGCAACAGCGAGGCAACAGTGTGTCGCCCATCATACAAATCAAAGTTGACAGCTGTTTTTGTAAAACATGGATTTCACGTTCTCTGGACTAAAAAGGAAAGAGACCTTCTGGCCTGTTTTCAGCACTCAAGCCTGCATCTCTGATGGAGCTGCAATAGTGCCTATGGAATTGTTAGCTGCACATCTGGAAAGGCACCATCAGTGCTGAAAGGTATGTAACATATGATCCATCCAGAAGGTGTCTTTTTTGGAGAAGGCGTTTCTTATTCAACAACACTGTGCTAAACCCTCACTGCATCTCTTACAGTAGCATGGCTTTGTAGTAGAAGAGCACAGGTGCTGAATGGCCTGTCTGCAGTCAAGACTTTTCACTGGTTAAAAACATTTGGCACATAATGAAATAAAGAATGCAACAGAGTAGAGGACTGTTGAGCAGCTAGAATCCAATGCAAGAATGGAGCAATGTTCCTCTCCCAAAGCTCCAGCAGCTGCTCTCATCAATTCCCAGATGTTTACAGACTGTTGTTAAAAGAAGACGGAACTCTACACAGTGTTGAAGATGGCCAATGTTAAATATCACCTCATATCTTTCTTAACATTGAGCGTTTTCTCAGTTTAAACATCCGTATGTTAGAGTGTGAATGGAATATGTGATTTAAAAATCTTTGCATTATGTTTTTATGTACATTTCACACAGCACCCCAACTTTTTTACTGATGGATAAAAAGTAAAACAGTAAAAAGTAGATTGAGTAAATTTACAAATTTAGGGGGTGCGGGGGGGTGGGGGGGTGATGATATTTGGCATTTCTGACAGTTCATTCAGAAAAGAAAACAGACAAGATATCAAATATTTGCTGTGCTTTTGTTTCATTTATGTCTCCCATTCCTTTAGTTATCCGGTAACCTTTTTAATTAACTCTGAGTTAATAAGTGAAAATGAAACCTCTTACTACAGGCTGCCACAAAGAGAGGAAAATGCAGCTTTTGCATTTTGTGTTCCATGTTGTACTTTTTGAACAGTAAAAATATGGTTTTCTACACAGCGTGAAGTGATTTGTCATGCGGCATAAACAGATTGTAAATGTTATGGGAGTAATTAGGGAGTCTTAAGGTTTGATCATATGTGAAATTTCAACCTGCCTCCCTTGTTTTAGATTAGTAAAGCTGGCCTGAACACCTTGGATGTCCACTTTTTTCCCAGGTTGGCCCTTCAGGTTTACCTATAGCAGCAGTCAGTTGGCTTCCTGTTAGGTGCATTTAGAAGTCATTAAGCAGAATCCATTCTCAGCACTCAAAACTGAATATGCTGCTGAATCGTGAGCTCCTCTGTGTCATTTATGATCAAGTAGCTTGGTTCCGCTAACTTTCCCAATAAATTCATCTCCCGACTCCTCGGTACTCTGTAGTACTAATGAAGCTATTAGGAAGATGCAGTCTTATGTTGATGAATGGGGCCAGCTTTCCAAAGTTTTCCGGCTTTCTTAACTTTTATTTTTGTTCTTTCTTTATTCTTTTGTATTTTTCAGCTGTGCTTTGGTTAGGCTTTGATTAGGTTCTGGTTTTGGTTAGGGTGTGAAAAGTTTACTGCTTGAGTTAAAAAACAATGATTAAATCCAGCAGAGCAAGTCTGACAGGGGGCACTGAACGTACACTTTTCCCGTGTGAGTTTCAGCTGTGTTTTCTGATATAATGACAGTGCATTTTTTGACGTTATCCAACACATTTTGTAACAAGGTTTCCTCTAAACGATCCTCTGCCCTAAAAGCATTTCGCTGCCACATCAGTTTATGTCTTTTCTTTCTCTTCTTCCCTATGTCCTCTGCTTTAATGTCACAGAAAGCAACATGTCTGCATTACATGCCTGCAGGTATTTCTGCTGGTGGGTGGGTGGATACTTACTGTTTCTCCTGACGTAGAGGCTGAAGGAGGTCTGCAGCTTACTGATTTCGTTCCGGACACTGATGTCCAGACAGTGGTAGCCAGCAGAGGCGAAGGTGAGGTTCAGTTTCAACATGTTGTCATACAACATGGTCAGCGTGCAGCCCTCTGTCACGTCCGGCATGCAGTTGGGGAGAAAACGCCAGCAAACCCATAAGGGAGGACTAAAATCACACACAAACACAGGGTTGAGGAGCTTTTCTTTATAATACAATAACAAAATTAATATTAAATAAAAAGCTGAATGCAAAAGAAAGGGCACTATTCAGGCTCACGCTATTTTAAACTTGCATTGATCTAATATATAGCAATGTTCCTGGTAAATGCAGCTCACCTTCCATCAACATGAAAAATCAGACTGGCGTCCTGTGACACCTCATATTCTGATGGCCCCTTCAGCTCGATGTTCTTGATGGCATCTACAAATAAGTTTTAGCTATTAGTCATTTCGTTCTTTAGTGGGAAAACTTTACAGAAGTGTTCTAGTTTCCCCACACAAAGACCACAAAATCAAGATGATAGCATTTTGGAAATTTTTCCTACATAAATCACATTAATTCAACTTAATTTTACTCTATCTACGCCCCTTCTGCACCATGAACTCTCTCCCTCAAGTTTAAGAAGTACTACTTTGAAACCACCTTAACTTAGAATTGCTACCAAATCTGCTTTCTTATGAATCCTGATAGTTACATCAGGTCATCACGTCACAGTTCAAATTAAATTTTCCAGGAATGTTGAGCCTACAGCAGACTGCTTTTTCCTATTGAAAATGACTGAAAATAATTTATACAGGAATATATTAATGCATATATGAATTCAAAGCCACAAACCAAGCACTTGAACCTCTGTGGAGTAGACTTTGGTCACCGGAGGTGAATATTTGGTCACATTTGCTCCCACTTTCAACCACATTGTGTAGTTTCCTGATTCTGGGTAATAATAGCGGACAACCGGCTCAGTGCCGTTAATCACTTGTCTGTATCAAAGATCAAAAAAGAATATGAGACAAAGAAAATCATCTCTAACATTTTTTTTAATCTATATTTAAAAGTGTAAGAAATCATACCCGTTCCCTAAGTCCCAAGTATAGGTGAACTTTGCTGAGCTGAAATTCTTTTGGGGATCAAAGAGTTCAAACATAGTCTCTGTGGGAACATCTGACGCCAGTTCACCTCTGTCTCTCACGTAGGTGGCATTTCCCTCCATTTGATAGAAAACAAGCTTCCCTTCAATATTTTCTAGTCAAAAGAGAAGCTGTATTTAGTTGCGGAGTCAAGAAGAATGAACAGTAAAAGAGAGACAGATAGAAAATGGATGACATACTGAAATCTATCAAAGACTCTGTAGTCTCTGTTCCACCCAGGAGAACCAGTATGGGAAGCATCAACATCCACACGATGTGTTTTCTGGAAGCATGCGTATGAAAGTTTGAAAACGTGTCAGTTAATGATGTTAATGTGGTGGATGTTCGACTTACCCATCCATATCTGCTCGTCCTCTCACAGTATGAAGTTAGTTCTGAAAACAGGAGTCGAGTGACATTGGGGAGAAAGGATGGAAGGCTGTTACTTCTGGTCAGTGAGATTCAGAGATAAGAGCCGTAAAGGCTTGAAATCATAACCATGCGTTTCAATCACATGGATGATGAGCAACAATCGGCTTTTGAGTAGGTGGTTCCGGCCTGGGTCACATTACTGTCAGTTACATGGGACAACTTCTTAAATGTGGTGGGTTTATCTCTGTGTTTATCGGATCTGGAAATTATCATCAGCTCAACAAAAATTGCACAACTACTGACTTGTTACTGGGACAGTACTTAAATTGAGTTAACCCTAAAGAAGACTGAAGCATGAAATAATTGCCTGAAAATTTTCATTTTTATTTTTTTGAACTTTAGTGTTCATCAAACCTTCTGACATTTTTTTAAAGAGAGAAGTTAATTTGTATCATTTTTGCTTCATTTGGCCTTTTTTTGCAATTGTAAGAGGGTTACAAAAACAAATCACAAAGACGTACGAGATATACGTATGAGATATGACACACTGGATGTTACAGGGCTAGGTTCACTGTTAATTTTCTTTTTTTCTTTATTTCTTTGTTGTTGTTGTTTTTAAATCTCTCTTACATGGAATCTGGTCAAATTACATACTTAGTTATTTTCCTAAATGATTAAATATTCAAATACATAAACCTTTCATTTAACATTTTTATGAGGGTAAAACATCAGTTATTTAGTGTAATTTAACTAACTTATAGATAAAATCCTAAAGGTCTTGCTTCACTTAGAGTTTAATTTTTCCCTCTTTATTTTGCACACTCTGTCACCAGTAGCAGTCAGGCTGTTAAGGTTGCAATAAAATGTAAAAAATGTATAGAAAATAATTTTACTTTTCATTTTTCCATTTTTTTCACACACTTGTGTTTTAAATATGTGGTTACAGAAACAAAATCACTAATATGTAGCAAGATGACATGCTGCTGAGACCTATTGTTCTGGAAACTACTACAAAGGTGGGTTTGAGTTCATCTGCAGGTGTAGTGCTGCATGTCTCTGGGCAAATTTTACCATGACAAAAGATACAGTTACGCAACTTTACAAGTCCATTGTTGATATCTAAATGAAGACTAGTTTCAATGATGGGTGTGGTTTGCAACTCACTGGCATTGAGATTGCTGTGATTACGTCACAGAAGGTTCAGATAGTTTTAAAGCTTGTTAGTGTGGTGGGAGATCTTAGACCATTTTTAAGCACTGAGAAAGCAGCAGGCTCAGTGTAAATAAGCATAAATTGTACCTGCTTTGAACTTAACTGCACATAAAGTGAATACTCAACTGGAGTGTGACAGTTGCATTCACCTCTTAGTATTCATGTTTATAACTTCCATGCATCCATCCTCTTCCACTAATTCAATTCAGGGTCATGGGGGAGTAAATATGTCAACAGCACATGCATGTACTTAAACAGAGCATGCTGGTTTGTGAACTATACACATATTGTGTATAAATAAAGATACATAACGCAAGAGAATGGTGCAAATTGCATTGTTAAATAATATGTACATTACCTGAAGGTTTACAAGCTGATCCTGAACATTGATATAGTATGTGTCAAAATATGGCAGTGTGTTTTTAACTGTAAATCAGTCCGGTGTCTAATAAAGTCCTAGTGTTTTGTACTACTGCTTTGGATGGATAGGTCTTCCTAATTACTCATTAAAATCCCCAAACATATAGCCAATCGTTTAAGAAGTCATAGGTTGATGGGATATTGATGATGAATCACAATTATATAACATAAAAAATATACCCACTGACCTTTCATGTACAAAGAAAATATTCTGATGCATTTCACCTGTTGAGAGCTACTGGTGGTGTATTCAGCATTAGAGGTTAAAAATCGCGACTAACTAAAGTTTAAAGAGAAGACTAGTTTGAGTTGAGAAATAATACGAGTTCTCGTTAAAGTACAGATTTCCAGTAAACCTTCTACGATTTATTCATGGTCCAAAACTTCCTTCGTCACTGTGACTGTACTAATTATTGTACAGCAGCGCCCTCTCCAGGCCAAAAGCAATATTATATCTAAAACCCACTGACAAAATACGTCACATTTCTATGGTGTTTTTCGCTAACAGTCCTGAGAATCAACAGCCCACAGCTTTCTAACTCACCAGCTGAGAACTTTGGCCTGTGTAACACCTCTTGTGACGTCACCCTCCTCCACCACCACCACCCTTCCGCGCTGCCCCCCCTCTTCGCCCCTAAAGGCACGGGGAAGTCTCTCGGTGTCCCAGTCAGTTCGTCCGCCGCCGGCTGCACGAGCGTTTCAGCTTGCTCGCGTGCACAGTGTACAGACACGGAGCAGGATTCGCTGTGGGATTTATTACTCGGACCGAGACAACTCCTGGATTACCAAGTGTCTTTTTGTTCTCCGCTTTGTTGTTATTTTTTATATATTATTTATATTGTGTGTATATATATTTTTTTTTTTATTTTTTTTTTATTTTTTTTAATTCTGAGATTAAGAAACAACCTGCCGTGATGGCTCGGGATCCGGAGCATGTGAGCAAGCTCACTGAAAGTACTTTTAAGGTGAGTGATGCATTCAACATTTAAGGAAATACCTGTTTTGTTTTATTTTTATTTTGTGGGAGGGGTCGCTTTTTTAATGTAGTTCACTTCAGGTGTAATCAGAAATTTATAGTTCAGCGAGTCTGCTTTGTTGCTTTTCAACAGTGGCTGTAAACCACAGGTAAAGTACCATAAAATAATGAAGTGTTTCCCTTACCCTTTGTTACCTCTTGTTTCAAGGACCTGTTTTGTGAGGGGGTGGGAAAAAGAGAAACTGATCGAGCAACTGAAACTTTCTGTTGTTTACCAGGGGAAAAGAAAATTCAACAATGCCACTGCCACAGCAGGGACACTCCCTGTTATTAAATAATTTCGTAAATCACAGTGAACCACAGCAGTGTTAATCAATCTGCTGTGGCTTTATCAGAACATCTGAAATCACTGGAGCAATAATTTGAGTGTAATCTTGATTGGTTGTTCCTGGCTAATCTAATCAACATTATACTTCTACCTCTCAATGGTGATAAGCAGTGAGCCTTCACTGTCTATGACCTGAAGTAGAAATAGACAACAGTTTAGAGTAAAAGTTTAAGTACGACAGTTAGGTTGAATTTCGGTGCATTTTGAAGTGCCCTCTCTGGTTTGGGGAGCAGGGAAAAAGAGACTGAACTAGTCCTACCTGTAGTTTACAGTAGTTTACTGTTTTTCCTCTCAGCTGCCCCCCACTCATGTAAAGCCATACCTGCCCCCCTTCATTGTTCTATTGAGAGTGTGCCAGGGGAATAGAGGCAGGGGGTGAGCAGTGCTTGATTATTGGGAGATTACAATAGAGGGAGATGGGTGGTTTGGTGAGAGTGATGAAGTTGGTGCTGCAAATAGCTGGGACTTTGTGTGGGACTTCGCTCTTTCGAGGGAGTTGCATGGCATACGTGAGGGGTCAAGTTAAAGATTGAAAGTTTTATTGTTCTCACATGGAGATATTTATAGAGCAACAGCACAAACACTTGCTCTTGTTTTCATGGATTTCTCTTCTCCACCCACTCCCACAAAAATAGCCATATGAGGGTTTTATTGTTAATGACAAGACCTTTCAAAAAGGGGAAAACAAGTCTTAAAGTTAAAGTTGTTTGTTTGCTTTTTCTTGCTTTTATTCACAATAATAAGACTCTGCTCTTTACCCCAGAATGTAATGGAGCAGTTCAACCCAGGCCTGAGGAACCTGGTCAACCTCGGAAAGAGCTATGAGAAATCAGTCACAGGTAAACACAGTTTTCACCCTCATGAGGGACAAAAGGGCATAAGCCCGTAATGGTCCGTAACCGCTACAATGAATTTTGGTGTACCTCAGCTGTTTTTACACTGGCAGCACTTTTAAATGGTCAAAGCAGAGCTATAAATGATCCTGGAACTCGTCTGGAGCTTAACAGTGTCTTGTCTGTCTGCCCGCACAGCAATGGCTCTTGCTGGAAAGGCTTATTTTGATGCAGTGTCAAAGATTGGAGAAACTGCTATCGTGTCTCCAGTCTCCAGAGAGCTCGGTGAGTATTATGCAAGTCTACTTTAAATCTACCTGCAATGTGGGAGCTCTCGAGAGGGTCTGTCTGATATCCATGCTAGAAATGTCTCTGCTGTGAGATCGAAGCTTTTAAAAGAATGTGACTCTAAACTTCCTCTTATGTTTAAATACAATTAAAGGAATAGTTGGAGATCGTGGAATAATTCTTTTATTAAAATTAATTTTAAGTTAATGTCTCTACACGAAAGTAAGAATATAGCCAGAAGCCATTAGCTTATTATAGACCTTGAAAACTAAACTAAACCAACAAAATCCACTTTGCTACCCCAAAGAACAATTCACAAATATCCTGTGTTACTAATGTGCAAAAACACCAATTTGTATCTTTACAGCAGGGTTATGTGCCTCGCTGTTGTCAACAATTAGTTTGTGAAAGACCATTTTGAAGCCTCAGTTTGAGTATTTTTACAGTCACCATGAAAGACCTTGAAAGTGTGTACTCATACAATAGAAACTAGCCGGAAAATGTCTGTTTAACAGATTATAATACCTGTACCCTGAATCATACCTTGTTCAGTTGTCCCTGTTAGGGTATTCATGTAAGTCGAGGAAGTTGAACACATTTTACATGGATCCCACTTTAAACTTAAGTGTTCTGGTAGTTTAACTGCACATTTAATCCCAGAGAGGACTTGATATATGCTAAAGAAGTGCGCGTCTCAGTTTTTCTACATGATACATACTATATAGGAGTAAATTGTAAGAAATAAATGAAATAAATTACAAAACATTTTCTGGTAGCTCGTTGCCCAGATTGTGCTGTAATTAACAACAATTACTGTTAATGTGTTAATTCACAAAAAATGTCCTTTTTATTTATGCATTTTACTGTGAAGACATTGTAAAACACAAGGCCCAGGGCTGATTCTTGCCACTGCTCAAAATGATAATTTTTCAAAATAAGCATTGTGCTCTATTAAATAAGACTTAAAATTAGTAACTGAGACCTTAAACACATTAGTAAAGTGCGTAGTCATGTCATAAATCAAGTGCGAAGTAACTTCATTTTCTCATAAATCTATATACAAGCCAAGTTCTTTTTACCAACCAGACAAGTCGCCCCCTGGTGGCTAGAATGTAGGTTTAAAGTACTGTAGCAATGGATTGACTTTGCAGACGTGAAGTTTAACACTTGTGCTTTGATTAATATCAGTGTGACAGATTTATTTTTGTTAGCTTGGGAAAGGGCAAGCTAACAAGTATAGGCTTCCTGTTTTCCTCTTGATTACTCTATTTGTACTAGCTGTGCAAAAAACCCCCCACAAACCCTACACCTGTACAAGTTGACAACATTTGATAAGAAACCACTTTGTTCCCAAACATTTTACATATATTTTCCACATGGTTGAAGTTTCTCTTGAAATGATGCTAAACTCTCTCACATCCTGCCAGTATTACGTGAGCTGGACACGTATCAAAATGCTCTTTCCTGCAGTTTCAGCGTAATAGTGACACGTTCTGCTTGCATCACCCAATATGCAAGTTAAATATACAAGCATCTGAAAATAACAACGCTTCAACCCTGGGGGTGAGGTACTTAGCAGAAATTCATTATTATGTCCTGTCTATCTCTCACTCCAACTGAAGCACTTTCTCTTTTCAGCCTCCTCTCTGAGGCTGCCATCGAGCACGTACAGGTTGTTTTTCATCCATCCTCTGAGTCATCTCCAATTATTCTATTAGTGCTGAAATTTGGAGCCGACCCGCTTTGTTCGGGGGTGTGTGTGTGTGTGTGTGTGTGTGTG